CTTGCGGCCCCGGCCCCGCCCCGGCCATGCCTCGTCGCCAGCCGCGGCGCACCGGGGGCACGTGCACCGCCCCCCCCCCCCCCCCCCCCCCCCCCCCCCCCCCCCCCCCCCCCCCCCCCCCCCCCCACCTTTTCCCGTCGCCTGTCGAGGCGACCTGGGGGAAGGGGGCGAGCGTCGCCCCTTCTGCCGCCTGCTTTGGCGCCCAGGGAGGCCGCACGTCGCCCCCCCCCCGTAACCTCTCTACCCACCATCCCGCCCTGCCCTGTGTTCGGGTTTGGGGGTGGCGAGTGGGGGGTGGCGGGTGTGTGGTCTCCCCTGCTCCTCCTCCTCCTCTGTCTCCCACTGCTGCAGCTGCCGCTGAGGGGGGTGGGTGTGTGGGAGTCGACGGAGTGGTGCTAGGGGGTGGGGTGTGAGTGACCCTAGGGGTGCAGTAGGGGGTGTGTGAAATGGGGGTGGGATAGTTTGGGGAGGTTGAAGGGGGTGGCCGCCGAGAAGCCAGCAGCTCCAGTCGCCCGTGAGACCGTTGCGCCAGTCGCCCGTGAGCCCGTTGCGCCAGTCGCCCGTGAGTCCGTTGCTCGTCTGCCGCTACTTTTAGCCGCGGAGCCAGTTACTCCAGTAGCCCGTGTGCCAGTTGCTCCAGTTGCCAGTGTGCCAGTTGCTCCAGTTGCCCGTGTGCCAGTTGCTCCAGTTGCGCCGTGTGTCAGCAGCTTCAGCTGCCGCCCACTACCTCCTCTCCTCTCATATTCCCTCCTCCTCCACACTAGCCCTCTGCGGTAGCCTCTAGCTTTGCTCATAATTGTGAACTTTAAACTATTGCTTCTTGAACTTGTGCTCAGAATGTGTGGTGACATTGTGATCCACCCTGAGCTTGTACTGCTTTGCTTGCTCTGCTGATTACACCCCACTTTGGCTATGGGGGTGTGTCAGAATATTATGCTCTAGCCTGTAGTGGGGTGCTCTATAGCGAGTACAACCCTTCTAGGGTTTGCTATTTGTATCCTCATTCTTGCTAGTGCAACCCTCTTCTTTCTTCTAAATTTTCACAAGCACGTCCGAATCGTGACGAGCGGTGTTGTCGCGGACATAGTCGCGGGTCGCGATGAAGCGGTCCAAGCCTTTGCCGGTTTGATGGAGTGCAGCCTGGTGGTTTTCTGCATCTGGTCCGAGTGAGTGTTCATTGGGAGTGTTCACTTGTACAGGGAATGCACTCGTTTACGTGGTTTAGCGCGGTCGTCAATGGCACGTTAAGGGACTTGATCGACAAGAAGCGCTCGAACGCGAGCATGCTCATTATGCTTCACCCTGACCACCTGTCGCTTGACGGTGACGAGACTTGGAACACGCGGTTCGTTCGCGTTGCTATTCCCACTGGTGGTGCGGAACACGTCACCGCGGTGGAGGCGATTGTGGAGTGAGTACCGCGTACTGGTTTATCATCAGTACCACGTTCATTTCCGCACCGAGGCTCATGTCGCTAACCGTGCGTTCGTGTGGATATGTATGTGCTTTTGGGCAGGTGGTTTCAGGGTCGCGTTGACGAGGATTTTGCACGCGGCTCCATTCAGTGCACCCGCTCCCGCCAGCTTAAGGATCCCAAGTGTCTGTTGGATCTGGTACGTCTGTGTTGTGTACGTGTTCTCGATGACCGCGAATAGTTGCAGTGGTGCTAACAAACCCCATGTTATGTTTTCCAGGACGCGACGTCATTGAAGGGCTCCTGCGGCAATCTCGCTTGTTTGTTCGCGTTCGACAAGATCCTTGCCCAGTTGGACGCGGTCGCTCCCAGTGGATCCGGGCCGCAATTCTCGAGGCCAACCGCGAAGACTCTGAATGCACTGCGGCATGAGGCGTACCAAACCGCCGAAGAGCTCGCGTTCAACTTGAGCGTGGATTTGACGCGACCCAAGCACGGCGGTGAGGCTGAAGGTGCTGAAATGGGGAAGGTGCAGAAAGTGGCAACGGGTGTGCAAGTTGCTGACCATGGTGTTCTCGCTCTCACAGGTGCCGCTGGTGTTTCGAACCGCGGAGGTGCTCGGGGGGGGGACGGTGGTCCACGCTAATGGCGAAGGGGCCGAGGATACCGCGACTAAGGGTGCAACCCGCGATGAGGCTGACCGCACTGTTGTGCGTGAGGGGGAGGAGTCGAGCGAGGAGGAGGCGGAGGCTCACGTGGTAGCGGCCGCGGCATCCAGCAGGCCCACTACATCCGGCAAGAGCATCAACCACCTCGCGCAGCACTTGGCCCCCGGTGCTGGAAGCGCGGGCCCGAGTGGTGAGGTCGCGGGCAAGAGTCCCGTGACAGGTGCGCGTGATCACGCGTCCCTATCCTCGTTGCCATCGCATAAGCTTGCTGCCGAGATCCTGCAGCTCGAATGCAGGCTTGCAGCGCAGGCCGAAGAGAACGCACGGCTGAAGAAACGCCAGGAGTCGGGGGTTGGTGGGGTCGCGGTCGTGGGCTCTGAGGAGCTTGCGTCCGCGCTTGCTAATGCGGTTCGGGTGTTGGAGAAGGAGGCGAGGGCGATCGCGCAGGAAAGAGCGGCCCTGGTCGATACGCGTAACCAGGAGGCGTTGGTGCTGGGGCGAGTGGACGCGAGGCTGGGACAGGTGCAGGGGGTGGTGGCAGACTCCATGGAAACCGCTCAGAAGAAGCTGACGGACGAGGTTGCGCGGAAGATCGACAACATGTCGACCGCGGTCTCCGCGACAGCAGAGCGGGCAGTCACCACCAGCGGGGTCACGAACGCGCTGCACACCCTCATCGGGCTCGTTGGAGGAGGCCCCCCGCCGCGCACGGATAATGAAGGAACGGCCGCGATGGAGATTGCCGAGCCCGGGGATGCAGAGCATGGAAAGCGGGCAACGGGTGCGAAGGCGGAGAATCAACGGGGGGCGAAGAGGCAGAGAGGTCCCCAGGCAGCGGCTGCGGTGCGCAATCCGAGCGTGCAGGACATGCTGAAGCAGAAGTGGGGCGCTGCATTGCGAGGTGCAGCACCGCCTGGTCAACCGGGTTCGAGCTCGTGCTCCATCCCACCTGGAGAAGCTGCACCCAAACCACCGGGCCCTGCCGGGGCAACCGCAACAGTGACAACTACTGTGGGTCGGGGCAAGGGTAAGGCGGAGGGTGGAGAGGCGCCGGCTGCTGCGGGTTCGCTGGCCTCCAGGCGTGAGGTCCAGTCCGCAGCGGCTGCTGCGGCAGAGGGCAGGCAGACCACGCTCGCACCCGCTCGTGCTGCAATCACCACGGGAAATCTGCACAGCGCACTGGCATCTGCAAGTCCTATCGCGGCCTCGGTCGAGGTCAAGGCGGAGAAACGCGGACGGGGTGGCAAGAAGTTGCCCCCTCCACCCGTGTACACGATCGACGAGGACGATGCAGATGAGGAGCTGGAGGGTCTCGTGAGCAGGTGGGTCGAGGCGGGCGACGGAGGAGAGCAGGGTGGGGAGGCCGTGGTCGATGTTTATAGCGGCGGGGAGAGCGCGGACGAGCAAGACGGAGACCCCGTGGTCGTGGAAGGTGGCACAACGGGAGGACATGGTGACACCGGCCCCAAGCGCAGGGGCTGCGGCATCCGCGCTCCACCCAGGGGCGGGCCCGGATTGGTTTCTGAACCCCATCTGGGGGGGAAGAAGCGATGGCTCGGACATGGCAACCGCCAAGACCTGCAGTACAAGACCGCGATCGCAATGTATCCCTACGACAGGAAGGTCGACCCCAGGCTGAACCAGAGCCAGCAGCAGATCCGAGAATGGGCCGCGGACCTGTCCATCGCCGAGGGGTTACATACGGGCCTCTTAATCACCATGCACTACCGCAACCTCGTGGCAAGCAAGGACAGGTGAGCTGTGCCAATCCACCATCATCTAGTGCGTTCATACGGTTTGGTATGTTATCATGTTCTGGCCGCTCCAACCCACTGCGTGGCAGGTGGCAACGCATGTTCGATTCCTATCGCGGGCTAACCAAGCCTGGAATGCACACCACCAACGTAATTGCATGGGCTGCGGTGGTAGGCAAGGAGGCTGCAGCAGAAGAAGCGGATCTCGGCGATGTGGAGCCGACGGACTACGCGGGAGCGATCGCATGCGCCATTGCAATGGTGTGGGAGGTCACTCGCGGTTCTAACGTCACTGCCGCAGCGGATAATGGAAATCTGGCCGCCCGAGCTGCTGGTTGCTATGGAGAGCGAAGCCGTCTCTTCCCCGTAGTATCCGCGTTCGTCATCAATGCGGTGCGAAAGCGCAATTGCCGCGAACATCAGCAGGCTGAGGAAGATGAGCCACAAGTTGTCGCGGACCCGAAGGCGGTCGCCGCCGCGATCGTGTCTGGAGTCGTGAACGAGGTCGTTGCAAAGTCTCGCGATCTCAGGCACATTGAGTTGGCCGCCCGCGAAACGGTGGACGTTATCATCACCTGGTGCGACTGCTCGGTGGCAGGGAAGCAGATGGATTCCTTGGGTTTGTACCTTGCCCTGCCCAAGGATCGTGTGAAGAAGCGGACTTGAGTGCGTGTAGTATCGCGTAGCATGTGCACAGCTTGTCCGCCATGCTTGAGTTCTACTTGCGGTGGATTGTGCTGGGCTTGCGGATCTGTGTGCATGTAGTATATCGTGTGTGTGTGTGTATGTGCGCGCGCGCGTGAGAACATAGTGTTGACATTTGGAACAATATGTGCTGGAGTTATACTCGCGGTGGACTGTTCTTAACTTTCGTACTTTGTGTGTGATCTTTTGTAGGATTCAGTGGGTGCGTGTGTTTGCGCGTGTGCCATTTTAGTAGTAATCTGCATTCGACTCAGGTATTCCCACACATTATCACTGTACACACTACGACGCAAACAATCTATATACATTAGGCAACAGCAGCCCACGATCACCACGGCCGCGATGTAAATCAGCACTATTTTCGCGCAAAACAACAACACTCGCGGTCGATTATAGGGACCCATAACATCGCACCCGAAGACAGTGATATCAAGACGAACAAAAGCGAGGTCAATCCATTTACTGTAAGTCTGGCATCAGCGCACAGTACTGGGGCCACGCGACCGTGAACTCAGACGCGGGAAGAGAGGCATTGATGAGACGGTCGCGAACAAGCATCCATTTCACACGCAACTGCAACTCCACCGGAGAACCCTTCTTGAGCTGGCTCAGTTCCAGGTCAACACTCTTCTTCTTTACCGCGATCCCTTCCGATACACCCGACATGCCCACAGCTCCTGACACGAGGTCGAGCTTGTCGAGCACTACCGCGATGTCGTCTCCTTGCTCCACCCTGTGGGCGATGAAGTTCATGAGTCGCTTGACACGGTTTATCACGTTCTGACCGCCTCCCTCCTCCCCAATGAGCGCGGCCATTCGCGTAACTGCACCGCGGGGCTGGGCCAGAAGCGACTCTGGACTCTCGCGGATCAGCGGGTGCGTTGTCTTGTACAGCTTCCATCCGTCTGACGGTTTGGTGGCGTTGACCCATGGAAGGACGATCGCGTCCCGAATCGTCTGTTCCCTGGTGGGCGGTGCGGGTTTCTTCCGCGTCCCCTGCTCGGTGGGAGTTGTGGCATTGGTCGGCGCGGCCGCGGCTCCAGGATTGGTTGCCTAGTTCGGAACCGCGGTCGGCCCTGAGCTGCTCACGGTGAGCCGCGACAGCTGGGCCTCCAAATTATTCACGCGCTCGTCCTTCGCGGCCAGCTTCCGATCGCGATCCTCCAGCAGCCCCTCCAGCTCTTTCACCCGGTTATGAGTCGCGACCAACTCTAGGCCCAGTTTGGTGTTGTCCGCTTGTGAACGAGTCAGGTACTCAGTGAGGATGGTCACTTGGTTCTGCGCGTCCATTCTGGTACTCACCTCCTGCATGGACAGAAAGCGACCGCGAACTTGTTATGGTTTGGCATTGACATCACAGCCGAAAGATAACGCGACCATGCAGTACTTACTGCGGGCTGGGTCAGTGTAGGTGTGTTGCGCTGTACTATGGCGAGTTGATTTGCCAATGAGACATCTGCAGCCCACGACGCAAATTCCTCCGTCTGGCAGAGCGGGTTGTTGACCACGTACGGGTGTCGCGGCTGGTGGATGTAATACATTGCCAGGTCTTGCGCGACCGCCATCCTAGCGTCCCCATCCAGCTCCTTCATTATGTTTAGCCCCGTGGTGTCCTGCTTCTCCGGCTTCTGCTTTTTCACCATCCTGCGGTTGTAATCCTTGCACTGTGACAAGAAAACAACGCGGTAGTGAACGCGGTGCCAGAGGGTTATGTGGGATGCTTGCGGTCGCGTATGCGCGGCCCACACATACCTGTTGCTGTTCTTTGTCCGCGGCGGCCCATGGGAAAATGTGCTTCCTCAGTAGCTCATCCAGCTTATCGCTGACCGGAACAGTTGCGCGACCCAGGAAGTAGTCACCGTCAACCCCGGTGAAGCCCGCCTTCAGCAGCACGGCCTCCCTCGGAATGGTTGTGAGGTAGTGCTTAGTCATCACGTTGATGAAGCGCCAACCCCCCAGCCTCGCCAGCTGATCCGAAGGCATTCCGTCCGCGGACACGTGCTGCGCCCCCCCAGCCCTGGTCGCGTGTACCGCACGCGAGCATGTGATTCCCGCATCCTGGAGAATCTTCGCCGCCCAGTCGTGATGAGTCGTGGGCGGTATTTGCTTCTCATTGCCAGCGCGAAGGGGGAAGAACAGGTATTGATCGTACCACGTCGAGGGTTCCGTAAAGTCGAGAGGGGGGGCTATGTCCTCGTAGAGGATGGGAACCAAGTCGTACACCCAGTGCAGCCACAGCAGCGTGGCTCCGACCGCGCACAACGTCCAATCTATGTGCCTCATAGCAGATATGTAGTTGAGCGAGAAGTCCTTGTTTGTCTTGCCCGTCCTGCACGCGCAAACAAACATGAACGCATTCCTCAGTCGATCGGTCTCCGATTTTGCGCCGAGCTTCCACATCATCATGTCTGGCAGCTGCAGGTTTCTGATCGTGCATCCGTGGGCCAGAGTGTGATGGCCGAGCACGGTCATCGTCCGGATGCAGAGGTCGCGATGCATTGCCTGCGTGTATGCTTTCTTGGCTAGTGTGAAGCTGGTCAAGATCGCGTCCATGCTGGTCTTCCGCATCATATAGTTGAACTCGTCCGGGGTGTACGTGTCCGCGGCCGTGGCCCGATGGCGATCCATGTGTTCCCTGCGCATCGATTGGGGCGATAGTGCGGGTGTTAGTGGACGCGGTATTGTTGGGCATTAAATGCGTTCACTGAGAACGTATACTTACGCGATAAACCGCTTGTACTGGTTGCGTACTTGAACGCGGACCCAGATGCGACACTCCGCAAAGTCGCGCAGCAGGTTCAGAACGGGCTTCCTGAAGATGGCCTTGTCCAGCTTGATGAGCAGGTTCAAAGCCTTGAGACGCCCCATCAGCATTGCCGGGGTGCACTGGCGTCTCTTCTTCAAGGTCTTCTCTGGCCGCTTGAGTGTGGCCATCCTGTCCGCCTGCGCGACTGTCTCGTTCGCGAGGAAGGTCACGTATTTGCGTAAGCGCCACGGATTCGTCTCAGAGCCGTGGAACCACTGCTCGTCGCCCTCCGCCATCTTCCAGTCACCACCCATGTTCTGTTCGAGCGCGGCCCCTATCTCGTCGGGGTCCGCGTTTCTCAACGCGGCCTCATCACCAAACCTACCCGCGTCCAGTTTAGGCAGCTCGTGAGCCATGAACCGCTTGTACTCGTTGGCCCAACCGCGATACTTCTTCAGCGTGGCCTCAGAGACACCGTAGAGGATTCCGTAGCACATCTCTCGTTTCGCGGCCGGTGTGTCGTCCACACCTAGCCTGTTCCAATCCGCGATAGGGACCTCAATGTCCCTCCGCGTACCCCGCACCCGTTCGTTGTCTTTCGCCTCCTCCTCGTTGAGCCCGGACAGCGAGTTCGATAGGTAGTTTTCGTCATCGCCATTCCAACTATCGTCCGCATCGTCAGCGTCGTCCTTGTCATCCTCATCGCTTGCCCCCTCGCTCCCCTCCCGGGAGACGTTGCGTGCCGTGTGCGGCACTACATCGACTCTCCGCCTCCTTATACACGGTCTATTAACTGGCCCGTTACCGGACCCGCCGTTCGCGTTAACACCGCTACCCGAGCCGCCGTTACCTGTCACCTCATGCGCTCCCTGCCCGTTCGCACTATACTCGTTCGATCCCACACCTGTCCCACGTCCCGCGCCTGCTCTCCCACCCCTTCGTCTCGCACCTCTCCCTCTAGCCGTGCTCCCTCTCTCCCCTGTCCCTCTTCCCGCGTTCCCTCTCGCACCCGTCCCTCTTCCCCTTACCGCGTTTCCGCTTGCACCCACTCCACGCCCCGCGTTCGCCTGTGGTTGCCCACCTACACCAGTCGCGTACGCTACAGTCGGATGCGCGGGGGTGCGGATGTGGATGTCGGGGTTTCCGGGCAACAGTGAGTTCACGTTCCATATTGGCGGCGAATGTGCACGCGCGCTCGCATTCATCCCCGCTCCACCATTCACCGCACGCCCTAAACCACCGGCATCCGCGTTCGATGATGGGCCGTCTGTTCGCGCCCGTGTGTCCAAACCGACAACTAATGCTTCTCTAGGGTCTGGCGGGGCTTGCACCGCTGGCTGGCTTTCCGGATGAATCGCGTTGGGGAATGGTGTTGACGGCGCGACAGGAGGCGTCGCGACAGATGCGGGTGCGTGCACCATGGGGTCTGGTTTAACGCCGAAGTACCCGTACCTGAATCCCACGTTCGAGTACTGCGGCCCTACGAAGCCACGCACAGGCATCCCAAAGAGCTGGCTAGTGGGCACGGACGGGGACGCAATGTGTTGTCCAACGGGATGAGTCGTGGAAACTCCTTGCGCGGTAACATTACCCGGTTGATTTTGTAACGCGACCGCCGCTGCTGCAAACGGTATTTGTGGTCGCGGTGCTAGGTGGAGCCCGTTGACCAGTTGCTGTGGGTGGAACGCGGGCATCCGGGACCCAAAAACCACGGGCTGCACGTATGGGGTGCTCCATGTGGGGTTGAGCGCGTTCACCCCATGCACGGGAGCGGTAGGCGGTTCGGCATTATGGATTTGATGCGCGGTTGTGTTGCCCGGAGCATTGATGGAGTCGTGAAGTATTGGTGCCGCGACGCGATTCACGGTATGCATGCGGCGTGCGAGATTGCACCTACTCCTATTCACCGCGTGCGTCAACATGATGCGCAGTCACTACTTGTACACCTGGGTGTGACTTAGACCCGTCTACCTCGCGACCGATTTGCTCGCGGACATTCGAGCGCGGCACACAACGTAACCGTGATACTGGTGTCCCGTTTTCCGTCTAAGTCAGGTGAATCCAGTGTGTCATGAGAGGGAAGAGCTTGGTATGCAACTGGCGATCGGAAAGTGGAAAATGTAGGCATGCTCGGAGTAATGACCGGACACTGCGTGGACGTGCTTGACACGTTATCGTGATCGCGCATCGACCAAACAGCCACAGCTGTGTGGCTCGTTCAAATTGCTGCACGTGTCAGCCAGCATGGAGCCTACCAGATCTCGCCAGCTGTAACCGAACCGGATCTCGCTGTGCGCTTTCCGTACCCATCCTTGTGCGAATTTTGTTCGCGATAAGTTGCGAGATAGCACAACCAATAGTAGCACTCCTTTGGTGTCCCGCGGTTGCATGCGCGGGATGTCCCGCTCGTCAATGTTACCGACCAATCGTGTTCGTTTTCTACCGAGTCGCGCATGCATCGGCGCGTAAGAACGAGATGGGTTCTTTAGGTTTTTTGGGGGCTGCGGAGCTTTCGGTGGCAGCCTGGTGGGTTTCACTGAGCCACGCAAGGCCGCGCTAGGTCCAAACCTGGTGGGATTCTGGGTGGCCGACTTCGGCCCACGCTTCCCGCGATTTCTCCGCGCCTCGTGCATCCCAAGGCGTGGGCGGGGTTTTTGCCGAGTCGCGCCGTATGAACATCCCAGCTCCACCACGACCCCAACCAAAGCCCAAGATATCTGTCCCTTTCACAGCTGTCAAACTCGAATTCGAGGCTTTTCATTTCTTGGTTCTTGTTCTTGGTTCCTCTCGAGAAGCACCTGCTTTGCTCACTCCATTTCCTCCCCGCCCCAATTTCTTCTCTAGCCATTTCTCCTAACACCCCGCCGTCGCTACCTCCCACCTAGCCGTCGCTCTCCCTCCCATTCCCCGTATCCTCTCCCTCACTCTCCGCCGTCACCTCTCCCTCCCACTCCACCATCGCCCCTTCCTCCCACCTCACAATCACTCCGTCCCACCCCGCCATCTCCTCTCCCTTACCTCCCCACCGTCGCCTCTCCCTCCTCCCCACCATTGCCTCTCCCTCCTCCGCGCCGTTGCCTCTCCCTCCTCCGCGCCATCGCCTCTCCCTCCTCCGCGCCGTTGCCTCTGCCTCCTCCGCGCCGTCGCCACTGCCTCCTCCGCGCCGTCGCCTCTGCCTCCTCCGCGCCGTCGCCTCTCCCTCCTCCGCGCCGTCGCCTCTCCCTCCTCCGCGCCGTCGCCTTTCCCTCCTCCCCGTCGTCGCCCTCCCTCCTCCCCGCCGTTGCGCCCGGAGCGCAAGCGCGGATTGGTGCGCAAGTGCAGATTGGTGCGCAATCGCGGGTTGGTGCTTCATCGCAACTCTGCAGGTGTTCGCGGGGAAACAGCCGGCGGTAAGCTTGGCGATATCGCATCCCTGCAGTTTGCTTGCGGTGTTTTTTTCTAATTGCCCTCTGTTTCCGAGCTGCCTGCGATCTCCCGCAGTTACCCTAATTTCGATTTGTGCAGTCACGGAACAGTTAGCGGGCAATCGGTGCAAAACTCATCCCGTTGGGTCGATGAACACCGCTCGGTGAAATTCGGTGCGGTGGTGTATAGAACTCCGCGCTGAACTAATATTGTAAAAAAAATGGTGAAGACTGAAAATGAACACGTCAATGTATGCGAATCTTTTGTAAGTTTTGGGAATCACATTGTCTCATTCCCATGAAGAAATGTAGACGCGTACGCCTCCGGTTACCAGAACACTTACCGTTGGCAAATGACCGTAGCGGTAACCAGGTAAATGAGCCCTTCGGACGGGTCATTTTCAGCGCGCGAAAAATCCAGCTGGACCAGAATGTTGACGGAGTCGCACACCCTGTTACGTGCGAATACGGCACGTAACTTTTTGCTTTGTCGTCGTTGCAGTTAGGGGCGAAGGGTGTGGTACGCGGTTGAGAACGTTTTTGCGCACTTTTTATCGGTGCCCGCATCATGCGGTCGTTCCCCTCCAGCCCCTCCATTTCCCTCCTCACTCGAAGTGCACATTATTCTCGTAGAGCTGGTGTATAAGTAGCCCGCCATGGCGCCTCCCTAGAACCCGCTAACTCGCCGGAACCGCCCGGTTTACCCGAGTTCGGCGGTTTTTTTTTTAAGGAAATGACGCCTCGCCATGCATTCTTTGCCTCGTACCGCATGCCAGACGGGTGCTCGTCTAGCTTAGGGTAGATCGTAGGGCGCGACTCGAGCTCAATTTTTTGGATGTACATTAGTTTTAAGGACGCCAAAGCCCGAAACGCGACTTCGACGACACACCAGTGCATGAGCGGCGTGCCGACAAAGCGTACAATTTGTTTGCGTCTCGCTGTTGAAGATCCACGGGCCGCGAAATCAGCGCCGTTTTGGTTTCTACATTAGTTTTAGGGTCGCCCCGACAGAAATAGCGACTTCGTCGCCGCACCATCGGATGCGCCGCGTGCCGACGCGTGGTATATTGCGCGAAAGTGCCGCGGCTTGAGGGATTAGTGAGGTCGGTACCGTTTTTAGTGTTTTTTTGCTTCTTTTTTGCCATGTTCGTTTTAGAGCCACAGATTTGCCCCCTCTTGCCACTGAGGGCCATGACCGTTTGTGCTCTGTGGTCTTTGCATGCAGGTCCAGGGGATGTTGTTGAAGACTGTCAGAACATATAGCTTACCTGTTTGTGTAGGCTACAGTGGGGTATCCCATAAGGGGTACAACACAATTAGGTTTCCCATTTTGTACCAATTTCTGACTTAGTCATCTCATTCCTGTTTACCTATCATCACATGGTATAGAGCGGGTCCCTCTTAAGGACCGATTTTTTTTTGGGCCCACCCTCGATATTCTCTCTGCCCGGAGCGCCCTACTCTCCCCGAGGCGCGCTCCCCCCCCTCCCCCTTAGTGCATTTCCCGCTGCCTTTGTGGGCCCCCCGCGAGTAGCGCGCGAAATTTTTTTTTAGCGCGCGCGGCTCGGGCCCACGTCGCGCGGGCTTTACGGCCGCGCCGCGCCGCCCTCTCGGCCCGGCTGTGCCCCGCCGCCCTCGAATCGGCCACGCGGCCGCTTCGTCGCGGCCGCGGGCCCCGTTTTTGACGGCCCCGCCGTCCCTTTTTTGACGGCCCGCCGCTGCATTCTGCCGGCCCCGCCGTTTCCTGTCACGGCCCCGCCGTCCCCTCTCCCGGCCTCGCCGCTGCACCTTCCCGGCCCGCCGCTGAGCCCTGACGGCCCGCCGCTGCATCTTTTGACGGCCCGCCGCTGCACCTTTTGACGGCCCGCCGCTGCACCCTGACGGCCCGCCGCTGTACCTGCTGACGGCCCGCCGCTGCACCCTGACGGCCCCGCCACTGCACACCCGGCCCCGCCGTCCCCTGTCCCGGCCCGCCACTGCACCTGTCCCGGCCCACCGCTGCACCTGTCCCGGCCCGCCGCTGCACCTTTCCCGGCCCGCCACTGCACCTGTCCCGGCCCCGCCGGCCTCTGTCCAGGCCCCGCCGCTGCACTGCAGCCGGCCCGCCCAGCAGCAGCCGAGCCGCCCAGCAGCAGCCGAGCCGCCCAGCAGCAGCCGGACCGCCCAGCAGCAGCCGGGCCGCCCAGCAGCAGCCGGACCGCCCAGCCGCAGCCGAGCCGCCCAGCAGCAGCCGAACCGCCCAGCAGCGGCCGAGCCGCCCAGCAGCACCCGAGCCGCCCCACAGCTACCGAGCTGCCCGGGAGTCGATCCGCCTTTCTGCTGAGCTGCACGACTTGCCCTGCCTGGTGAGCACAGTCCCTCTGTCACTGCGCCCTCTTTCCCTACTGCTTGCACTGCTTCGCTGTCGTCATCATGGCCACCCCTAGTGTCCTAGCCTTTGACGCCGAGGGTCGAGCCATTGATTTTGAGGTCTGGCTAGACGACCTGCAGCTTTTCTTACAGTGCGACAGAGCTGACAGCCTTTCTCTCTTTGACCTCACCTCTGGCGCCTCTCCTGCTCCTGCTGCCGATGCTGATCCCACTGTCCGCTCTCAGTGGGCCACCCGCGATGCTGCTGCACGTCTTGCTGTGCGTCGCCACCTCCCTACCTCTGAGCGTGCGCACTTTAGTCAGTACAAGAGTGCTCAGACCTTGTACGACGCTGTAGTTGCGCGCTACTCCTCCCCTGCCACTGCTGCACTGAGCCGTCTCATGCTTCCCTACCTCTTTCCTGACCTCTCTGTCTTTCCCACTGTCACTGACCTCATTACGCACCTCCGCACTAGTGACACTCGCTACCGCGCCGCCCTTCCTGCTGAGTTCTGCGCTAAGAACCCCCCCCCCATGTACATCACTCTCTACTACGTAGTCGCGCGCCTCCCTGACTCCCTCCGCGTAGTCAGGGACCACTTTCTCGCAGTCTGTCCCACCACTCTCACCGTCGACCTCCTCGAGAAGGCCCTCCTCGCAGCGGAGAAGAGCATAGTCGCTGTAGGTGCCTCTCGTGGTGACCCTCGCACCCCCATCTTTGAGGGGTGCTCTCCTTCCCCCTTGCTGCCCTCTGTTGCCTCTGCTGCTGCGGCCGACCTGCTTGGTCTTGAGTCGGTCGGCGCGGCGTCTGCCCCTAGTGGGAGACGTCGCTCTAGCAAGGGCAAGGAGGGCAAGGGCGCGGGCGGAGCTGGAGGGGGCGGTGGCGGTGGCGGCGGAGGCGGCGGAGGGAGTGGGGGTGGCGGCGGGAGTAGTGGTGGTGGTGGTGGTGGTGGTGGCAGCAGCGGCGGAGACGGTAGTGGTAGTGCCAGCGGTGGTGGTGGAGGCAGCAGCGGGAGCGGAGGCGGTGGAGGTGGAGGCAGTGGAGGCGGCGGCGGAGGAGGCGGTGGTGGTGGAGGAGGTGGAGCTGGTCGTGGTGGTACCCAGCAGCGGAGCGGCGGTGGTGGTGCCCAGCGCTCGCAGCGGCAGCAGCAGCAGCGTTCGCGGGACATCCCTCCGCCTCAGCAGCTTCGTGAGTGGTACGCTGCGCGTCAGAGGGGTGGGGGTACTGGTCCCTGCGCCTACGTTCTTCGTTCCGGCGACCGCGCGGGTGAGCAGTGTGGGGGTGCCCACTCCACCCAGCGCTGCTTTGGCCGCCTCACGGACGCTTGGCGTCAGCAGTTCCCCGGGGCTAGTGAGATCCCTCGCTGGGATGAGCTCCTTAGGGCTGGTGTAGCGATCTTTGATCTTGATTTTGATGCTATCCTTTCTGCTATGTATGCTGTGACTTATAGTGAGGAGAATGAGGGTTACCGGTGTTTCCAGCCCGACCCGGGCATTGGTACTGCTGCGCTAGGTACTTGTGAGGCTGCTGCTCTAGGTGCCAGTGCGTCTGCGCTCTCAGGTACTAGTGAGACTGCGCTCTCAGGTGCTGGTGAGACTGCGCTCTCAGGTACTGTGTCGCCCTCGTCCTCCCTCACTTTCACACTTGACTCTGGGGCTTCTCGCTCCTTCTTTCGAGACCGCACTACCCTTACGCCTCTTGGCCGGCCGGTTGCGGTCTCCCTTGCTGACCCCTCTGGGGGTCCTGTCCTGTCTCACTTCTCCACTGTCCTCCCGTGTCCGGCTGCCCCTTCGGGCACCCTGTCTGGTCTGTACCTTCCCTCGTTCTCTACGAACTTGGTGAGTGGTGCGGACCTACAGGATGCGGGGGTTCACCAGTTCACTCCTGCGAGGCGACGGGTGACCCACTGCACGGACGCAGACACAGGCCGACACCTGGCCACCTTTTCGCGTCGGCCGGGGTCGAGTCTCTACACCCTGACCACTGAGTCTCCTCCTGTCCCTGCGTCTGGTCGGGTAGCTGCGTCAGGTCAGGTGTTTGCTGCTGCTTCCAGGTCAGGTCCTGAGTCTGCCCCCTGTTCTTGTCGCCTCCTGTCTCACGAGACTCTCCTGTGGCACCACCGTCTTGGCCACCCCTCCTTGCCCCGTCTTCGGAGCATGGCTTCCCGTGTCCTTGTTTCTGGTCTTCCCCAGTCTCTCCCTCCTCTCCCCTCCGGGCCAGGACCTTCCTGTGTCCCCTGTGTCGAGGGTCGCCTCCGGGCTACTCCTCACTCCTCCCACTTCCCCCCGACAGAGGCTCCCCTGCAGACGCTTCACATGGATGTGTGGGGCCCAGCCCCCGTCCGTGGGCAGGGTTACGAGCGCTACTTCCTGTTGGTGGTTGACGACTACTCGCGTTACACCACAGTCCTCCCCTTGCGCAGCAAGGGTGCGGTCACTGAGGTGCTGATCGACTGGATCCGCAAGGCTCGTCTCCAGCTCAGGACGAGCTTCGGCTCGGACTTTCCTGTTCTGCGTCTGCACTCTGACAGAGGCGGAGAGTTCTCTTCTCGCCTTCTGCGAGACTACTGTCGTGCACGGGGGATCCGCCAGACCTTCA